ATGTCACACTGTGAGATCTCGGTTGTCTGTAATGCATCTTGACTGTAGTGCAGTCTGACATTAAAAACAGACACACACGGTTGATCAGGGATGCAAACAGGTAAGAACTGAAAAGGGAGAATGAGGGGTGGGTGATATGACCGAAGTCTTACATCACGATAGGAGTCATTTTATTTCATGACAGCAATATATATCACAATATAGTTATTTTAACTTTAAGTAAGGTTTTTGTAATAGCAACATTTTGATACCATAGAAATTCCAGAATTCTAGTCACAAATCTATCTATCTATACTAGTAATGACATTCTTGTACCTTTTATAGATACAGTACTAGTACTTATTACATATTCGTTTTTTTCTTTAGATTCTAGTTCTTATTTATTGGATACTAGTAATTATTATTAGATACCACTGAGCTGCATTGAGGTGGGATAGTGTGGAGCAACTGGAGGTTTGTTGTTGTCTCACTAATTATCAGGTTCTGTGCTCCTATTGGTTTTTGGTTTGATTGTTGTTGTAGAAGTCACACTGTAGGACTGAGCCTCACATTTTCTGACACTGTCAGAATTCCGCCAGAGGTAAAATCTGATCTTCATGGTCATTCATCATATCTCGGCAAACATGTCAAGCCACCATAAATATTAGCCACCTCAATGTTTTCTCCTCCTTTATCTGAACGAACACGAGAGGGCAAACCAAACTGGATAACAGCACGAAGGAAGGCATCAAGCACAGTGGTCGCATTATTGTTAGTAGCAGCATTCAGATATACTATAAGACGACTAAATCCATCGATACCTCCATGGATCACAAATCGCCAGCTGATTTGAGACAAAAATGACAAGACAAGAAAGGTACATCAGAGTTTGTCCACATGTTGACTAGCAAACTTCCATGCCTTTTTCTCCCCCCATCACTATCCTTCTAAAAGTCCATTTCTGTTGCAACATTTTAAAATGTTTCTGATATATAATTTAGGAAACAAAGTTGTTTTAAATATCACGCTTATTCTCACACAATATAATGTGTAGTAAATTAAAATATTTCCTTTACTCACAATGCGATCTTAATATTTAGGGTTCCTTGGCATCAAAACATTTGGCAATTCCAGTTGTAAGATAAGGGTGGAACCAAAAAAATATATATTTTTAATCAAATTACCCTATTAATTTATGATTTCCATCAATATGCCACATGCAGTTCGGAGCAGGAACTGAGTACTGTCTGCGATGAAGCGTCCGGTTAGCCAGGGCTCGGAGTTCAGTTCCCTCAGGGTCCACTCTTTGTAGTGACTCACGTACCCTAACAACTTCAGATAATGAGATGTTATTGCACTTCTTGTAATGTTACATTATCTTAAAGTAAAGTTAAGTAAAATCACTTCTACTTGATGTGAAGTATATACAGTATAAACAAATTTCAAAAAGACTTACTGAGATCAATAAAAAAATAATGACTAATGGCTGACATATCCTCCATAACTTAATGGACTCTTTTCATAAGACTAAATCCTCCAGAGTTTTTTATATTTGCAATTTAAAAAAATGTATGAACATTTATTACACTATACTTTGTACTATATTACCCTTGCATCAAATTACAAAAAAAATAAATAACACTAGTTACCGCTAATGCGAGGGTGTTTCTAATGTGTTTGATTGGGGTTGGAGCTGAAACTTTCAGGGTGGTAGCCCTCCAGAAGCAGGGCTGGTGATCCCTGGCATAGTGGCTATGCAGGTCTGCCATAGGTCCAACACATAAGTATAAACAAGCCTGCAAGTATGTAACAAAAACAAACTTACACTGAATCAAATGCCTACTTGCTTGGAGAAAAGCTCTCATCATACTGTATCCACACCGTGGGTGTTCCCTTTGAATTTCCAACACCAAACGATCCAGGTCTGTATCGTTAATGCCAGAGTACAACTCTGATACTCTGTGGAACAGGTGGATAATTGTGTGATAAGTGGCATTAGATGCATCAGATATTTGTGAGATGAACAGAATTATGTAAAGACCTAAACATGCCTTTGTGAAGTTTCTTATTTATTCAAGTCATATCTGAATGTCCTAGTTCAATTTCTATCAGATTATTCAAGTCAGCTGTATGCGTTTCTCTGATGCTTCAAAAAAAGAGGGCATTCATAATGTTAAGAGAGTCGGGACTTGTAATCAGAAGGTCACCCATGATGACGGAGTTTGGAGGTAAAC